TATATTTATTTATTTATTTCTTTTTAGGAGTATCCAAGAGTAAAAATTGGTGTGTTCATTGAACAACCCACTCCTTTCCTACCTAAATTTTTAGATAGAGTGTTGGCTCTGGACTACCCAAAGGAGGCACTCAGTATCTTCATTCATAATAATGTAAGTATATTGTTACTATTGTGCAAAAGTTTAATTTTGGAAATTATGGTATGAATGAAAGTGTGTGAAGGAGTATGTGGATTCCATATATGTACACAGTTAAATTCCATAGGAAGGGATAATCTTCCAGAATTTACTATGCAGAAGTGGAAAAAATAGACAAATTAAATGAAATTAGGGTAGTGCTTAGTGACGTCTATTTGAAGAAACTGCTGTAGATTCTTTCTCTTTTACTAATGAAAAGGTTGTATCTTAAAGTTTATGCTTCTGTGGGAAGTACTGATTGACAAAAACCAATAGAGTAGAATAAGAATGGAATAGTTCCACTTGGAAGGTACAATGATCATCTAGGCCAATTGCCCTGACCACTTCAGGGCTCACAAGAAGTTACACTATGTTATCCATAACTTTTATCCAACAGCTGACATTGGATTTCCTTTTCATCTTGTGTATTTATGTTTCTTTTGGTGCTCTTCCTGGGTGCCATGGGAAAGACTGATGTGTATTTTGAATGACGGTACACACAAGTTACTTTTTTGAATATTTTTGAATGCTTTTTGCTAATTACCTAATGTTCTGGTGCTGCTGACACTTCACCAGTGATTTGAGTATTGCTATTTTTATGGATGGGGTGATAGATGTATACAGGTCTTTTGGGGAAAAAAAATAGTTGGAAGATAAATAGGAAGAAATGATTCTGCCCTTCTTTCACTTGGCATGCGTTACTCCTGATATCATGGCACAAAAGGCCTGAGTAATAGAAGTAGAGCTCTTGAAAGTCTTCAGAGTGCTTTTGTAAGGGGATATTAAAGGTATAAATGGGATATGCACGTGGGAGTTGTAGGCTATGCTGGTTTTTGTTACTTTGGCCAGAAGTCATATGATGATGAGTGGATGGAGAGCAGCCCTGTAGAGAAGGACCTGGGAGTGCTGGTAGACGAAAAACTGAACATGAGCCAACAATATGCCCTCACAGCTCGAAAAGCCAGCTGTGTCCTGGGCTGCATCAAGAGAATACTGACCAGCAGTTCAAGGGAGGGAGAGTTCCCCTCTGCTCAGCTCTTGTGAGATCTCACCTGGAGTCTTGCATCCAGCTCTGGAGCCTCCAGCACAAGAAGGACGTGGATCTGTTGGAGCGGGTTCAGAGGAGGCCACAAAGATGACTGGGGGGTTGGGGCACCTGCCCAATGAAGAATGGGTAGGAACACCTGCCCAAGGCTGAGAGAGCTGGGGCTGTTGAGCCTGGAGAAGAGAAGGCTCCGGGGAGACCTCACAGTGGCCTTCCTGTGCCTAAGGGAGGCCTACAGGGAAGAAGGGTCCCTGCCCATGACAGGGTTGGAACTGGTTGATCGTTAAGGTCTCTTCCAACTATTCTGTGATTCTATGAATTTATGATTTGAAATGAATATAAAAGACTGAGTCCCCTTTTTTTTTTTTATCTAAGGGGGACAACAACACTAACCAATAACCAAAATTATTCTGGCATCAGCCATAATACACAAAAGCTACAAATGGGGGCACTGGGTTGAAGCACTGCATGCAGCTGAGATCTCTTCAGTCACTGTGACTACATTTTAAAGAAATAGATTGTGACATCTCCCTCTCTAAAGCCATTCTGGAGTGGTATTAAAAACTCCTGTGTGCCACAGAGGTTGTAGGTTGGGTTTTGAAGATTATAAAATACATATCCTGAAAAAATTCTGCGTAAGCAATCCATGAATCTCTCATCACTGGTCTGGAGATACAGCTTTGATTTATATTACTGATGTGTTGGATTCTTTTACTAAAATTTTGGGCAGAAGAGCTTTATTTTAATGACATATATACTGGAATATCTTCAAATACTGTTTGCCATCTGTTTAATTAAGATAGAATACAATGTGTTCTAGGACACTGTTTTTATGATTTCACAGCAGTTTGTACTTTCCACTCACTATAAACAATCTTAACATGATTACAGGAGGTTTACCATGAAAAGCACATCAAGAAATTCTGGGAAAAAGCCAAGAACATTATCAGAAATATAAAAATTGTTGGACCTGAAGAAAATTTGAGTCAAGCAGAAGCCCGGAACATGGGAATGTAAATTCTAATTTATAAATGTTATAATGATGCCTACACTAACATTTTTTCATCTCTTATACATTTTTTTTCATCTTCAACACTAACAACTTTACATCGTAAGATACGAAACCGGGAGATGTTGTGGTAAAACAAGGTCCAGATATAAGCTATGAACTGTTGAGTATTTTATGATTTCTGTCTGATGTAAAAAGCTGTTGGTCATTATGAAAACAACTCTGGTTTAGGACTACTTCAGTAGACGGTCATCTTGTCCTTTAATAAAGGCATAGACAATAGACTACAAAGAAATAAGAAGCATCACACTGGTTTTTAATTACAGTTCTCTCAAACATGGATATATATTAAAGTATGATGAGCATAAGCCAATTTATTTTTTTTTAAAGAATGCTCTTGAAATGAGATAGATGGTACAATACAGCAAAGTGTTTATTAAAGTTTGTGCAGAAAATATATAGCACTAATTTAAAATAAAAAGGTGAAGCAGGTGCAAATGTAAATAGAAATTCTAATTGCAGCGTATTTTCTAAAAATTTTTTTTTTTTTAAATCCAAACCCTTTTCAAATGAACTTATTACACAGTGATTTCACAGAAGTAGTTCTTACATTAGATATGCATGTAACAATTGCACATTTGTTTTTTGGTGTTTTTTTTTTGTTTGTTTCTTTGTTTGTTTATTTTACATTTAAGTAAAAATATGGTTAAAGCTTGTCCCAGGCATATTTTTCTTGTGGTTCCGAGAAACAGGAATATCCTTTAGAAGTGCTTTAGCAGAAGTTTCTACTTTTTCTTTTAGTTTTTACTAGAAAATCCAAATCTTGCCAGACCTAAATCTGAACCTTGGGGAATTTATCAGGTGTCATCCCTGCCTGTCAAGGGGTTCTTTCAGTGCCTGCAGCACTCGCTCTTACCATAGAGTTGCTCATGGCTCTCCCAGTATGTCTGTCTGTCGGAGTATGGAAGTTTTACAGACGAGGATCCCACCAAAACCTCACTGTGGCCCTTGAGGAGGCTTCATTCTCACATAATTCTTTCACTCTCTTTTCTTCCAAATCTTCCTTGAGTGTCAGAGCAGAGAAATTTATTTCAAAAGCCCTTTTCTTTTATATTCAGAGGTTAAGAGCATAGTATAGGCTGTTCATGGCACAAACTGAAAGAATGAAGTTCTAGTCCTGAGTCTCTGTGGTGTTCTTGGAAGTTTGTTTGAATGGGGTTTTGTTGTGCTGAAGCCACTGGGAAACTGATACTTGGCTGAGGTCCAAGTCTCTCCCGTAGCCTTTCTAGGAAACCCTACAGATGTCCAGTGTTAGCATAAGCAGCCATTCACATGCTTATTAATCATTCTTTCTTTATTTCTGATAGTCTCTAAAGCAAATGTACCATGTCTGCAAACTTTTTGAAGTAGTGTATGGTACCAGTAACTGAGGTGGAATTTCTGGAGTTGCCCTTTCATCTTTGTTGTTGTATAGTCACCATAAGCAGAATCTTTAGTGTAATAAATGCCTGTGTGGATTGAAAAAAAATAAATTAAATGCATATTTGCACAAAATCATTTCAAATTCTTTTATGTAAGGCAGGGAGATAGCCATACTTGTGATGTGTGCCACTAGATACACTACACTGATGTATTACTCATCGTTTGGATATAATTTGACCCATGTTGCTCCTGCTTTGAGAGGCTTCTTTTCAATAAGAATTCTGTCCTGAAGAGATACACAACATATAGAGAAAATGTGAAGTATAATGCCCGTGGGATAAGACCATGCCAAAATACTGAATCATCCAGAAAGTATGAGTACTAGTAGTAGGAGCTTTCATGTGAACAATATAGATATAATTTGATGGCTTCTTTCAATTTGACTGAAGCAGGTTCAGTTCATTTGCTGCTTCATTTGCACTCCTGCTCATCTTGACTGTGCTTGTGAACATCACCATCATCTCTGGAACAACTGCATTTTACTTTTCCTCAAAAAATCTAGCTTGGAAGTATGGCATGTTCATGGCAAAGGCAATTACTATAAAAATTATTTGCTTTCAATCCTTCAGCTGGCTTCCAACATAACCTCATTTGTTTCCCACTGTTACTGCAATGGGAATAGCTTGAAAGGAGAGATTTCTCAAATCTGTTTAATGGCTTAATTTACAGAGATTGATGTATTTAGCCTTCTGATTAATTTTCTGCTGCCCCTCTCTACATTATTTACTGATAGTTTTATTCCATCTGTCTCAAACACTTGCTTTCTCTCTTTTTCCAGATTAGCTGTTTTTAATATCTCTGTTAATTTCCAGTAGATTTAGAATTAATTTGATCCCCTTACTTGCCCATTTGAACAAAGTCTATTTATCTGAAGCAGCAAAACAGTCTTTAACTAATACAGAGGGAGAGAACTTAAACAAGTCTGGTTTGTTTTCAGCAGAGTACTTTGGAGTACATAATGCAGTTGGATCAGTGTTCTCCTTATCTTTTTTTTTTCCCCCCTCTTTCTGGCTCAGTAAAAAGTGGTGATAAATCACAATGAGGTTCTCAGTAAATGAAACTCTTGTGTGTCTAGAAAAAAGTTATTTTCTCACATTTGTATTATTTCACCCATAGCCATGCAGCATTGTCTAGTTTTCTCGTACACATAATAAAGAATAGTTGAAGCATTTGCTTTCTTACTTCTGGACATGGAAAGCTCTCCTGTGCTTGTGCAAGTTGGATAGGTGTTGAAAAGGACCCAAAATTCTGCAGTCAGCAAAAACTTGTTACAATTTGACAATACTGGCAAAGAGGAGGACATATGTTTCTTGCTTGTGGGCTTGAAACAGAATAAAAATGGAGGAAAATAAAGTAGAATAAAGAGAAGGAAAGTTTAGCTGCATGTTATCTGAGTATTTTCTCATTAAATCCTAAAACAGCATTTACATATGTAGGGGTTTTTTGTTTGTAGGTTTTTTGTTTGTTTGTTTGGGTTTTTTGCCTTTGTCTAGAAGGCATATATTAGCATTCTTCTGGTTGGTTCCTTTCTTCTTAAGAAAAAAATAATTTGTGATTTTTGTCTTGTTTGGAGATGAGATTTCAGCCAGCTGTTAGAGAACTTGTTCTGACAGGAGATGTCAAATAACAATATTAAATCTGTTCAAGTAATAATAGAAAATGGGGAAATTTGGGAAATTTTCTCATTCGCTTCTCTTTTTATTTATAAACAGCTTATTTTCCATAATCTTTTTTCCCTTAGTACTTAGAGACTTCAGGATGTCTTTCATGGAGGGTTTTTCTTTTCCTACTTCAAAAAAATTATTAATAGAATTATATAGGATTTTTCCTGAACCTTTTTTTTAAGAAATTTGCTTTACATTTAGTGGGAATACGCATATCTTAAAAGCTTTCATTATAAACTTTGAAAGCTTTCAGGAAGAATAGCAGAGAGATCAGAATCAGTTAGAGAGTTCATTGACCTCACTTAAATTTTTGAGCTGTGTCTTTCTTGAAAGAGAAAGTTAGCTCATTGTCTCTGAGCTCCTGTTTGGCATTGATAAATGTTGACATGGTCAGAGGAGGGCTTCCCTTTCAGCCCTTCGAGTAGGGCAAATGGTGTGCCATGGATGAGGGAAGAGTGGGGATTAAATCTGTATCTCCCATTTGTAAAGTGATTTCTGTTGGAGACTTGGATTTTCTGGAGCTGCTTCTTCTGAACACTTGAGCAGTTTTGCGTTTCAGCCTTGGATGAAGAAAGAGCATTTTGTACTTTGAGTGTTGCAGAAGAAAAACAGTTTTTCCTTTCGTATCTGATTTGCGTAGCCCAGGTCTGATAACTGTGATAACAATACTTAAGCCTGAGAGGTAAAACTAAGCATTAGTACTTTATTTATTTTGTGACTACATTTGTTTAGTTTTAGTGATGGGTGATAAGTTTCTTGATACTGCTGTCGCTATCTGGAGAGATGCAATCCGTAACCCTAAATAGCAGCCCGTGCTGACTAGTCTTTCTGTGCGTGTTGGTGACTTGTATCTGGGACACTTTCTTTCAGAGTTTTGTCAAATGGTGTAGAGTGCTCTCTCTTTGGGCTCACAGTCTGTGTTTGGAATTGTATTCCCAAACTACGAGAGGTAGAAAAATGATAAATTCATTAATGGCAAATTGAAACTATGTCTTGAAAAATAAAAATAAAAAAAATAAATTATTCAGTAGTAAAGAAACTAAGTGGACCATATGTCTTCCTGCGATAAGCAACTGGCTCTTGGAATATCTCAGTGGAAAGTTTGATGAAGAGCCATGACACTTACACTCTTCAGATGAGGTCACTGTTCCAGATGGGCTCGCGGTTTCTAAGTTAAACATTACTCTGATTGCAAAATACTTTAAACAGATCTGCCGAGTTTCACTCAGCCTCCTAAATTTTTGTTAATTGCTGCACTGAAATGGCTTTAAGTTATGTACAAAAATATAGCTTACTTTTCAACATTTGGTCCTAGTTTATAAGCAGGTGGAGCGTAAAGAAAGTAGATTAAGAAGAAGCAAGTAGATGTTTTAGCCATTGAATTTAGATGCGTATTACTATACATACAAGTATTGCTAGAAAGCACTTTCCACTTGTTTCTTGCTGTGACCTGGATATGCATAATAAATAGTTTCACGTATAATCTGGGATTTCTACATCTGGAGAGGTTAGCATACCCCATAAGCAGGTAATACTTTAAATCGTGAGAATATCCAGGATTACTTTTATTTCCTTGGAAAAGTTGCTTGACTCACTGAAGGTCTAACGAGAAGATGCATGAATTTCTTAAAAGTAGGCTTACTTTTTTCATTTTGAAGAAATGTTATTAATTTTGACTGAAACTTTTTTATGTATATCTGAATCCTTAAATGTTTCATGGAGTTTTTTGTTAGTGACTTTAATGTGCAAAGGCAAAACTTATACTTCGCATTTGACGTGGTGACTTGTATCCGGAAGTTCAAGGGTAATTGTGCTTTAAACATGAATTTTTGTCATTTGGTGATCCAGTCTTCAGTGATGTGTAGAAAGAAATAGGGAAGAAATGAGTCAAAGCCAGAATAGTAGCCTTGGGAGAGGCCTTATAGTGGCTTTCCAGTACTTGAAGGGGTCCTATAGGAGAGCTGGAGAGGGACTTTTATAAGGGCATATGGTGATAGGACGAGGGGCAATGGCTTTAAACTAGATCAGGGTAGATTTAAATTAGGCATTTGGAAGAAGTTCTTTACTGTGAGATTGATGAGACACTGGAACGGATTGCCCAGAGAAGATGAGGATGCCTCACCCCTGGAGGTGTTCATGGCCAGGTTGGATGAAACTTTGAGCAACCTGGTCTGGTGGGAGGTGTCCCTGCTTGTTATGGCAGTGGGAATTGGAACTTTAAGGTTCCTTCGAACTCAAGCCATTCTATGGCCCTATGCTTCTATGAATATAAATATGTATCTTTAATACTGTAGGTTACAGAGGTTGAAGTTAGAGATGAGGCATTGTAGGTGATTTGTACTACAGCTGTATTTCCGGACTATTTAAGGCAGTAATGCTTTCAGAGTTCTCAATAGATTATTGACTGAGTGTGACTTAGCTGAAGACTTTAAATGTAGTGTTTTGTGTTTTGGGTTACTGTCTGAATGAAGAACAGAAGGATTTTCAACACTAAGTGCATTGGACCAGTTTTAATAGAAATCTGTCTCTGGATATAAAGGAGGAGAAAAAATACAGGGAAAAAAAGGCAAAAGTTGAAGGACCTTATCTAATGAAATTGTGTAATTAATTTTCCTGTCACAGTTATCTACAGCTAACTATGAATCTGTTCATTTTGTCTGTTCATATGTTAATAATTAAAATATTATTTTCATTCATATTTTTATTAGCAGCAAAAGATTTAGCTGTTTTGGGGGAGTTGCTACCTGGTACAGTGGCTGGAAGCCTGTACTGGCATCAAATCTGCTGGTCTCTCAGTTTTAGTTTCCAAAATGATGATAAAGGAGCTGAATGTTTTTGGAAGAAATGAAACATCTAATGTCGAGTGCAATATAAAAGTCAAGTTACTATTAATAATTATAATTATGCTGATGATAAAGCCACATGTATATTGCTTTCAGTAGTTGTAAAGCTTTGAACAGGATGGGCTACTAATGTAAAAAGCAATAAAGACTTAGTTACTGGGCTGTGTTATGGCCAAAATAAAACCTGCTGGTTTTAATTGGGGCAATTTTGTGAGAAAGTGCTGATTAATGAATTGCTGTCATAAAAGCATGTATACATAAAGTAGAAAACTGTCAGTGAATATATCAGTTAAGGCAAAACCAGAGACTGATCAAAAATGAATGTTTTCAGCACTAGTGTGAAGACCATTTCTTTCATTTTGGTAGTTTAAATTTTTAAGTCAAATCACTGCTACATCTTCAGTGGTGGAGTCTGAAGAGAAAGGATTGCTTAGATTTATGGAATAAAAAAAATCTCAACCTTCTGCTGTGATTCTACCTCTAAAGTCCTTTGAGCAGAAGAAAGTTTGGACAAAATGACCCAACTTTACTGGAGCCAGACTAAAGGCTGACTGCAGTGCTGTGCTGGGTAGTGGAGGGGAGCAAGAACAGGCAGGAAACCGTACCAGCAGCTGCCTTGACTTGTGTGTAGCCTGTCACATCCACCATTTATCTGGTTTTCTGAAGTGACAGAGATCTCTTCCTTTCCAGAAAAGTCACAAACAATCAAATCAAGTGGAACTTACCTAAAGCAGTGTTTATAGATATTTCAAAGTACGAAAGTAAAATAATTTGAATGTTGCAAGCTGTTACAAAGGAATTAATGCAAGTTCTGTCGATAACCGTGGGGAAAATAGACAAAATCAGTAATACCACCTGCATGGTAGAAAGGTGCTGCTGTAGTATGACTTGAAGAAATTGTGCTGCTTTCTCTAAAAGTAAGTTTGATTTAGCATGATTTTCCATGATTCTGTTGGCATAGGAAAGCTGCATTTTTGGCCTAGCAAGTATACCCTGCAAGAAACATAAAATGTAGTCTGTGTACCTTACTGTTATATTTATAACAGAATGTGTCTTCTGCGTGGTGGAAGCTTTCTCTTGAAGATGTGGGATTCTATGCAAAAAAAAATATTATTATGACATCAAGATCACAACTGATATAAATAGTGTATGGATAAATTCAATTCATTTTTCTAATTTCCATTCACCGCCCGTGCAAATGTTTTATATATCTCTTTGCCAACTCTGTAATTCCTGTAAGTAACCAAAATACTAAGATAAGGTTTTTAAATATACATTTCTTATACTCTCCATAAGGTTTCAATTACTGTTCAGATCAGCAGATCACATCTACAGCATCTTTGCCCAAAGAGAGTGTTGCAGTTGCTTACTAGAGCACCTTAATTAATAAGCCCATACCTGGCTATAAAGTGATCGTACTGATATCCAGCTATATAAATTAGTTTCCTGATTTCCTTGGCATCTCTTAATTTGTTAAAAGAAAAATACAAGGCATCTGATCCATGGTTTTAAATCTTCTTGTAGTTTATCACACTACTGAACCTTTTTCTGGACATGTGTGAATTAACCGTTCTTTTTTCTTTTGATAGGGACCATTGTCGCCAGGATAAAGCTTGTGAATATTACTTCAGCATAGATGCAGATGTCATGCTGACAAACCCTAAAACTTTAAGAATACTGATAGAACAGAACAGGTGTGGTATGCCTTTTGATTCTGTACAATTTCCTCTAGTTTGGAAGGATTCTCTGGGGCCCATGCAGAGAAAATAAGATCCTGTCTGTTCCAGCAGAGGTAGATCCTCTTTGTTTACCTGTGGTATTTGATTGACAATTCATAACGGACTTGGAGACCAACAATTACCAAAGCATTTTGTTCCTATCAAACAGCAATCACTGCTGTGAATTTCAAATGCTTCCAAGTTCCTCTGAAGACAACAGTATGGTGTAAGCAGATTTTTTTTGAAATTAATTAAGATTTTACCGACTAACGATTTCAGAATTGGTCACACTCAACGTTTTTTTTTAAAAAAACAACTCCAAACAACAACGGGAAAACCCTCAAAACAAAACCAAACAAAAGCTCCCTAGAGTTTACTATTCTGGTATTGCAGTATTATTACATTTAAAAGAATCATAAATAATGGAAAGTTATTAGAGATAAAGCAGCTTTAAAAACCCATTTCTCCTTGTGTTAGTGTGATCTCTTAAGTTATATAAAGCTGTGCCTTTATCACTGCTGCCAATTTGTAAATTCCCATGTTATGTAGGTAGTGTTTGCCTATTCACAACCAATCTGGGAAACTTGGATGTATCATAGAAATAAGAATTATCAATGTGTCTTTTGACCTACTTGTGAGAAGGGATGGAGCTTAAATAAAGATCTGGCTGCCAGTGCTTTGTATTATAGTCCTTGTCATAGTTACTGTTGCAGAAAGACTAAATGCCAGGGCCACTTGTGGAAGGTACACTAGGTGGAAGAAACAGAAACTTTGCAAAATGTATCTACCATAGGCACCCTCTGAAACCAAGTGCTGTTTTCTTCTTTTTGTTCTGGTCAGCTTAGATTTCCCCTTTTGACTCTTAAATTTTGTGTAAGCTATTTCACTGTGGGTTTTGGGTTTTTTTTGTTGTTGTTGTATGGTTTTGGGTTTTGGGGCCAGGAAGGTTTTGTTTGTTTGTTTGTTTGTTTTTTATGCCTTTGTGATTCTTTTTGTCGTTACCCTATAGGCAGTATTTTTTGGACTCTAAAATCAAACCACCTGCGATTGATTGGAATCTTTGCTTCTGTTTACACTGATGTTGTTTCTGGGCAGTATGTGCTTGGATGCTGATTCTTCCAGCTTAAGTTCAGAATATCTGTTCCAAAATTTGGTACTCACTGGTGTTTTAATTACATTATACTATAAGCTACTGTATTTTACTATATCGTCTTTGTATAATGATTCATATTTTCTTATTCAATATGTCACTTCACAGAAAGATAATTGCTCCACTTGTAACTCGCCATGGGAAACTTTGGTCCAATTTCTGGGGTGCTTTGAGCCCAGATGGCTATTATGCTCGATCAGAAGATTATGTTGATATTGTCCAAGGGAACAGAGTGTAAGTAACTATAAGCTAATCTTTAAAGCGAAGGGAGCTGATATGATTATTAGCAATATATTTTTACATTTTCATGCAATATGGTATATTTTTATGCAGTATGGTATTATTCCTACAGAGTTTAGGTTAGTTATATTGTTTAGCTTCTTCTATATCATAAAAATGCATTTGTTTTCCCATTTGTGTTTTCCCATTTGCAGCTTGAATAGGAAAGCAGAGTGTGTAACATGATGAGCTGCTATTAGTGAACATAGTCATTACTAACACCTGTCTAATTGTGTCTGGTTATTCTATCAGTGCATAATACACAAGGTGTCAAGAAAAACAAGTAGCAAATGCAAAACTCTGTATCCCAGGAACCTCAGTCAAAAGAAATGATTGTTGTATTCATCAGATGACTTCTGCATCTCTTTGGGGCAAAGGTTTAATCAACTGAAGAGCTATAATTTCTTCATGTGTTTTGTCCCATATATTATGTCAGATATATCCTAAGGAGCTCTCGAGAAATACTTTTGTTGCACAGCCTTTTGGGTTTATCTTTCCCCTAAATGTGTGTGATGTTAAGTTGTTCTAAGCTTGACTTGTGGAGGTGTCTTTTCATTGCCCTGAAAGATCAAAAAGGTCTGAAGCAGATTGACTGCTTGAATAGGACTGGCTCTTTTTCAGTTGCACTGGAAGATGTGCTTGTGGTGCTGGGAGGGGGGAAATCTGCAGAGTGAGCATTGTGACAGCAATGCCTGTTTGTTGGTGTTGGCCCAGTGCACATAAATATGTGGCCTGCTGTGGTCTGTAGGTTTTTCTGTGAGGAGGTCAGACTAGCTGTGGGAAGTCAGTGAAATCTTTAAACTCATTTATAAATCTGTTCCAGAATTAGTTTCTCCATCTGGTCGTGCAGAATAATATACAAGAGTTTGACTGATAAGTTTAACTGTGGAAACATGAAGTACATTTGAAGTTAAAACTCTTCAGAGAATTTGACCTTCATTGTTGTTTTTTTTAATAACAGTGCTTTGTAAAAGTTGAATTATTGCCTGTGCCTACGTTTGAGATTTCCACAATGTCCAGCTATAGTTTTTCAAATGGCTTGGGAACGTTTCAGCATAATTTCCTTGAAACTTGCTTAGTCTTGTCAGCAAACACTAGTTTGATAAAATAGGCAATAAATCAGTTTTCATGGCTTTAAACTATTTGCTTTTTTTTTTTTTTTCTTTTTGTTTGTTTGTTTTTCACAGAGGAGTGTGGAATATTCCTTATATGGCTAATATATACTTAATTAAGGGACAAACTCTCAGATCAGAGATGAAAGAAAAGAACTACTTTATGCGTGATAAGTTGGATCCTGATATGGCTCTGTGCAGGAATGCCAGGGAAATGGTAAGGTGTATCTGTAACAGCTTGCTTTTAAATACACACAGACTTCTTTGTGTCCTGCTAAACTTGACTACTTCACTTGAATGATCTTGGATATTATATTTTTACTTCTAATTCCAAGTACTAGCCAATTTTTGTGACACAGAACAGTTTAGGTGTATTTCCTTAAATTGTTGAGAACAGGTTTCTGCAAGGCCAGTGCACTGGCTGCAAGTTGGATTTTATTTAAATTCACTGAAAATTCATGTTGAGGTTAAAATACTTTCCTTCTTAATGCAATCTCAGCAGATGAAAGAGGGCTCAACTTCTCTGCTCTGTGTGACTTCAGACTTAGAGATGCTCTAAACGCATCAATATTATTCCTGTATTTATACTGTGTGAAACTACCAGCAGACTAAGATGGAATATTTTGCAATTTTGTGTTTAAGGAGATACATTTTTAAACTAATGATGGACAGTGTTGATATAAAAATGGTAGGAAATGGTAGGAATCTTGTTAGGGAGCATGAATACTCATTAATTTTTCCAGATAGATTAAAACTCTGTCAGAAATTTTTTTACTTGCATTAAGTTGTGAGTAATGAGAGACAACTCATTTGTACTGCAAAATTATGGATATGTAAATCCACTTTTCTACTGATATTTACAGTAGTTTCAGCACAGAAACAAGTAAGACCTAAACCAGACCTATTTCCAGACACTATAGCATTGAAAAATAATTTTGCTGAATTGAACAAGAAAAGTTGGCAAGTATTAATTTCTTTTTTAATTCCCTCATAACAAGGCATGATATCCTTTGTTTGTACTGATCTTTGGAACATCCTTGTCCAACTATGTTGTATTCAAACCTTCTCAGCATCAGTTGCAAACCTGTGCTTCCCATGCGCTCATAAAACTAATCTGACTGGCTCATCAGAAAACTGCTTTTTCTTTCCCCTTTCTTAGCTGTGCTGTAAGATGATCTGTTTGTGCTTGGTTTTGTATTGCAGCAGATAAGAAGGGGCTGGTGGAAACAGCTTTGACATGTGTATTATGAGCTTTGCTTGGAGATGCATGTTGTCTGTAAAAGCATATCAGCTTTTGATCAGAGGCTGCTATTTCCCCAATGTGACTGTGGAAACCTAATAGTAGTCAGATAAAGAGATTATGTATCAGAAAACTGATGTGATGACTCTCCTTCATTTTAGACTTTACAAAGGGAAAAAGACTCCCCTTCTTCGGAAACATTCCATATGCTCAGACCCCCAAAGGTGTTGCTTTTTTTTATTAACTGGTTATTACATGCAGTATTATTCTATTACGGAAGATATTTCTCCTCTTTCCACTTACTCTGATGAAATACTGCTCTAGCTTTCTTTTCAGTCTTCTGAGGTTCAAGTTTTGCCAGGGACAGGTTCTTCATGACCACCTCAAAGCACCTTAGAAAGACTCGTTTCCTCAGGGAGGTTTCTTACTGCATCTGAGGCCAAGGTGTGCTAAAGTTGTGCTTCTGTAGCTAAAATGGTTCAGACTAGGAAGGAATAAAGCTCAAATCACTGTGTTTGCCTGCAAGTCACCACAGAGGGCAGTTGTAAAATTAGTGTCACTTCAAGCTGTTTTTATTGACCCAGACCCTCCTTATTCTCCCTGCTGCAGCTATATTATGGTTTGTTAAGTGCCCCAAACTGGGCAAGTGTTTAACATAATCATTATCTTTCTAACAGTTTAACTCTTTTTCAGACAAAAACATAGACACAAGTACCAGAGAATCCAAATGGTAATGTCTTCATCTGCAGCAAATCCAAAATGAAATGAAGTTTTGGTCTGAAAAACAGTAAACTAAAAAAAACCCAACACCCACAAAACCTAAGTTTCTTTTTAAAAAAGACTATTTTCTTCTACTATTTCTAATCATGAGAGGTCTGTTAATATCTTCTGTTAATAGCTTGATAATAAAGCCTTATCTTACTGCATTTGCACATATTTTGCAATGTTTGCTTAGGTGAATATACTTCAAAGTGCTCAGCTGTTTTTTACCCTGATCTGAATATTCTTTTATGCTGCATTTGCCAATATCTTTATGTTTCAGGCCAGTTCACCAAAAGGAATACTCTGAAATAAGTTTCATGTTCTGACTTGCATTAACCCTTTCATTGTTAGCTTATTCTTTCAATTTTTAATCAGAAACAAATTCCTAGGTGTTGGTTTTCTTGTATGAATATTTTCAGTTTAGGAACAGGTTCTTCCAGTGTGTCTGCTTAGGTTTTCTGGAAAACAAATCGACCAACTACTTTTCTGTTTTTTCCTTTCTATAACTGCATGCGGATTTGTGTTTTGAATAATATATGTTTAATGAAAATAAATTCAACCAAATGCTTGTAAGCAAGAAATGAACACTAGCTGGTGATTAGAATCAACTGTTAAAAAAAGGAAGATGCTAAGTGAACAGCACATGTATATGTATGTATGAGTGTGTGATATATTTTATAGAAGTGCAGACACGAACAAACAGATTTCTTTAAAGCCTAATTTTTTGCCAAGATGGACAGTTCTGCTAATGACTTTTTCTCTATTTGGTGTAGGGTGTTTTCATGTACATTACCAACAGACATGAATTCGGAAGACTTATTTCTACAGCCAATTACAATACCTCCCACTACAACAATGACCTCTGGCAGATATTTGAAAATCCTGTGGTATGCATCTAGTTATTGATGAAATAGATGCTTTATATGAAAAGAAAAGTAAAGTTTATGTATTATAAATGACATGGGATTTAAAGACTTTACACATTGTTTATTGTGCGCTAAATACTGGTTGTGTACTAAAAGGCCTTCTCTACCACCCATTTAAGAAAATGACAATATATCATATCAACAAGCCAACTGATGACCAGAGTAAGGAGTTAGAGATACAGCCCTAATATAACAGGTTTCATGTTTTTTGACATGATGAGAACCACTTCATTTCTGAGTATACTAAACAGTTTTTTTCCAATGCTTTCCACAGAGCAAATGAATAGAATATTTTTCCCCCCTCATTTCTAAATGCATTTATAAATTTGTTTCATTTTCATGTTTTAAAATGTTTTTTTAGGACTGGAAGGAAACCTATATAAATCCCAACTACTCAAAGATCTTCACTGATAACATAGTAGAACAGGTGGGTATAAGTAGTTTTCTTAAAATTTGTGAGACTGTCTGATAATAAATTGGCATACAGTTGCTGTTTCCATGCAGATGCTATTTTGGTCTGTGACTGAATAGCATTTTGATATTTTGGGTGAGAACTGAATTTTTGCCATTTTGACAACTGGATGAGAGGAGTTTAAAAAATAGTTGTTAGATTACTCAGAGTAATTTAGTTCTCCAAGTAATTGCCTTCTCCAAAATACAGATATATTTAGTTTATTTGTTTGAACTCGCTAGTACCACCAGCAGAAGGGCCTAATAAAGCTTCTGTAACAGATTGCTGTGTTTTCTGGTATCTAGTGAAGGCAAGCTCATCTAGACATTTTCCTTGGGGTGTACCTTTCCCTATAGATTCCTAAGGTCTGACAATCATGAATCTGAGGTAGAGCCTTTACCTGGATACAGACTTACTTGTTTGTTTGTTTATTTATAATGGGTTTTTTTGGTCTGCCTGGCTCCTTGCTTTTATGCAAGTAATTGAGACAGAGCACTGGTGTTGGATGAGCAGTTCTGTGACAATTAAGGACAGTGACTTAATAAATTTTGTTTCCTTAAGAAGCTGATAAAAATTGCTTTTTTGTTTAAAAGTGTTATGTTTTAAACTTAATAGATTGTAGCGCAGATGATCACAGTTGTTATATAGAGCATCCAAGACACAGAATATGTGGGTATGCTGATGCAGCTGTTAATGCTGGATTATGGCTTAAAAGGTATCTTGTAGTCTGAGCTTCATTCTGTGAGAATGTGCTTGTGAATCAAGACAAAATTTAATTATTTAAATGCATCTGAATTTCGGCTCAGATTAGAAGAATTTATACTCTTTAGAGACTTCGTGAAGATGTCCTCTTTTAGCAGCTGGAAATAAAATAAAAGTTTTACTCTGCTGAAAGAGATCTTAAAATCGCAGAGTGTTAGTTTTAAGTTTCCTGGTTTTTTTTTTTCTTTCACAGCCATGTCCGGATGTGTTTTGGTTTCCCATATTTTCTGACACTGCCTGTGATGAATTGGTGGAAGAAATGGAACATTTTGGACAGTGGTCTGGTGGAAAACACCAGGTAAGTATCAGCCTATATAAACATGACCTTGATGATACTCTATAATCTTAAGTCACAGTGTACTGCAACAATCGTTCCAACCATCACTAATAACCAGAAGCATGTACTTGGTGGTATAAAATGCTTAATTTAGTCTACCATATAGCTTGTTGTTCAGTATGTGTAGAGACATTCCTTAATTAGCCTTGCAGTGGGTTGACCCTGGGTGGACAATAGATGCCCACCAAAGCCGATCACTCCCTCTTGTCAACTAGACAGGAGAGAAAATATAATGAAAGGCTCATGGGTCGAGACAAGGACAGGGAGAGATCACACAGCAATTACTATCACGAGCAAAACAGACTTGACTTGGGGAAATTAGTTTTATTTATTACTAAACAGAGCAGGATAATGAGAAATAACACCACCTCCCCCTCACCCCTCTCTTCTTCCCTGTCTTAACTTGACTCCAGATTTACGCTGTCTCCTCTCTCCAGCAGCACAGGGAAATGGGGAATGGCAGTTGTGGTCAGTTCCTTACATGTTCCTGCCACTCCTTCCTCCTCAGGGGGAAGACTGCTCACACTTCCCCTGCTCCAGCATGAAATCCCTCCCACAGGAGACAGTTCTCCACAAGCTTTTCCAACATGAGTCCTTCCCACAGGCGACACTTCTTGGGGAATTGATTAGTATGGGTGCCTTCTGTGGGGTGCAGTCCTTCAGGAGCAGACTGTTCCAGTGTAGCTCCCCCACAGGATCACAGCTCCTGCCTGCAAACCTGCTCCAGCGTGGGCTTCTGTGTCCAGGGGTCCACAGGAGCCTCCTACGACCCAGGCTTCCTGCAGGGTCATGACTTCCTCTGGGCACACCCATACCGTCTGGTGTGGGGTCCTCCACGGGCTGCAGGTGGATTTCTCCTCCCTCTTTAACCTCCAGGGCCTGCCTCGTTGTGGTCTTCACCACAGGCTGCACCTGAGGCACCTCTTCCCCTTCCTTCTTCGTTGACCTGGGTGTCTGCAGGCTTGTTTATCGTGCATGTCCTCACTTCTCTCCTCTGGCTGCTGTTACACAGGTTTTTGCCACTACCACTGTTGCTGATGGGCGTGGCCTTGGCTGTCTTGGAGCCAGCTGGTGTTGGCTCCATGAGACATGGGGGAAGATTCTAGCAGCTTCTTGCAGAAGCCATCACTGTAGGCCCTGGCTACCAAACCCTTGCCACGCAAAGCCAATACAAACCTTGAACTAGCAAATTCAGACACCATCTGCTACAGCAACTGCACCACTGTTATCCAGCACGTATCCAAGGCTGCTCCTGGGTAGCTGTTGATAACTGTTCAGAGAATTTTTACTCATTTACCTCTTAAATACTAATTTCTCAGACTTCTCCTTAGCAATTTCTTACATATATTATGAGCTTTTGTGTCTGCAGAAAGTTCTAAATATTCATTAACTTCTGCTAAAATCGGAGGACTGTCATATTCACAAACATGATACCCTGGAAATGAGATAAATTACAGTAATTATTTAACTGCAGTTAGGAGCCTGCAGAAAGGCTTTTAAGCTACTTTTATCTTCAAATTATTATGTCAAGTTGAGGCCTGTCCTTTCTTGATCTGGTATAACAGTTGTATCTGTATCTCCAGGAAGCCCTTATTTACGTGCAACACATCCAAATGCTGTCTCACCTTTTAAAAAATTTCCAATTCTTGGTAATTATTTTTTTCCACATCAGTTAACTGTGAAATTACTGTGCAGCAGGCTCACATATGCTTGCTAAAGCGTTGCTTTGTTGCAGTTTTGTGATTCTGCAGATTTTGAATAAATATTTGTGCAAATGACAGAAGCATTCCATGATTGTATTTCAAGGCTATTTATGGTGTTTTCATTAGGACAGCCGTATTTCTGGAGGTTATGAAAATGTCCCAACTGATGATATTCATATGAAGCAAATTGGACTGGATAATGAATGGCTGCATTTCATAAGGGAGTTCATTGCACCAGTAACGCTGAAAGTGTTTGCTGGCTATTATACCAAGGTATGGATTTAAAACTTTTTTGCAGATAATTACTGCACAGCATGACTGATTGTAAGTTTTATTGAAAATACCCTATTAGGTTTTGTTGGGGAGTTTATACGTGATGTACCAGTACATGACTGTCATTTAGTTGTTAACTCAGCTTTAAACAAACAAAAACCAAATCAAAACTCCAGCCACCCCAAAAACCCCCAAGAACCGTGTGTGAGATTTCAAAGTTCATATGTTGAAGTCTGACTATATGTTTTGTTTCAGGGGTTTGCTTTATTGAATTTTGTTGTAAAATATAGCCCTGATAGACAACGGTCACTCAGACCTCATCACGACTCCTCTACGTTCACAATCAACATCGCTCTCAACAAAGTAGGAGAGGATTTTCAAGTAAGTTGACAACTTACTGGTTTAAAAAATGTTGTCCTTTGAGTGTCTAATAACATTTCCAAACTAGAACCCAAAAGATACACATTGAAAAGGAAAAGTTACGCCCTGGGAATTGAGATATATTACTCCTTGGTATATTTTGACAAGTACTAAATTTGCTTGATTGCACAATCTAGAACTGTTGATGCAGTCAGGCTGAATTGGTCAAAATGGTTTCAGATGATGGAGGAGAAAGAGGTTTAAGCAAAAATTTGGGAGATGTCAGCCATTTTTAACATTTCTGAAATGCTTTGTTTCGGTGCACTGCGAGTGCAGTGAAAACCAATTTTTTACAATTCTTTAAATAGCCCCAGCTTGACTCAGATGGCTTATTTTTTGTAACTTTTTGAAGGATTCTTTGTCAGGTCAGACACAGAATGAAAATTTTTCAACTGTTGTACATAGTTTTTATTCTGAAAATTTTCTACTCTGATTTTGAATTAAATAAAACAGTCCCTAGAGTATGGGAGATAGGCAGGACAGCGGTAGTAATATCCAGCTTTGACTAGAAACTTAACCTGTTGTGTTTATCAACAATATAATCCATAGTCCTCCTTAACATCCATAAATGTTTGTCAAACTTAGTATTTTAAAACAACATACCTTTTTGTTTGAAAGCAGCAGCCAGATTAATTTTTTTAAGACTTCTTTAAATGCTATCCTGGGTAAGGATGCGGTCCTGGAACAAGGCCTGTAAACATGATCTGCTTCTCTCTGGTGTTATGAAGATCTGTTTGTCAGAGTTACTGCTTGAATGAGTTGTTATCCTGGGAATGCTAAAGCAAAGCAAGGGGAAATCTTTGATTGCAGATGCGTGTCTGTTAGGTGTTGTTCTGAAGATGGTGTCATTTAAACAACTTTGTTAGTACAGATAGTAAAAAAAAATATATTGTTAACAGCCTATAGCAAAATATTTTAAGTTGTGACTCAATAAAAACAAACTTTACTAAAATGTAAGGTAAATATTTGGGGTTTTTTTTGTGTTTTCACTACAGGGAGGTGGCTGCAAATTTCTTAGGTACAACTGCTCCATTGAGTCTCCCAGGAAAGGATGGAGTTTCATGCACCCAGGAAGACTTACTCATTTACATGAAGGACTTCCTATCTTGAACGGCACAAGATACATTGCAGTATCATTTATTGATCCTTAATTTTATTTTTTTCCCCTCTTCAACATCAGTGTTTGGTTCTTTACATAAACATTTATTTATAGATTTCTTCTGGAAGATGGTGATAAGAAACTTTGTTACTGTTCCTAGACAGCAAAGTTATGTTGACCTAAAAGAATGAAAAAAGGAAAATGTTTTAAAATTGTTTTTTTCAATATTAATATTGATTTCTCAATTCAATATTGATATTGATTTCTCAATATCTGCTCTGAGCCTTGAGTCACAAAGTAAACATATCCTGCTTGTTTCTCCATTCTGTTGTCTTAAAGAGTAAGTAAGCAGGGAAAATGGAAGAGCATTTTATAACATATCTGTTTCTTTACTGAATCCCCTCCCCCCCCCAAAAAAAACCCTCACAACCAACCAACTGAACAACCTTAGATACAAAATTATGTGAAAAATTTACTGTGGTTTTGGTTCAGTGAAATGACCCAGCTAAAGTTTTTGTGATGTGTGTATATTGGGTACAAACCAATTAAAAACAATAGCATAAAACCAAAATCAAAATCATTTGTTCTATATGCTCGCATCTATTGAAGGGAAAACATGCCGGTAGCCTGTTGTCTTAATTTGTTTTGAATACTGAAATGTACACCTTTGGAAAGAAAAAATAAATTGTGGAGATGGAGCAATGATTAAATAATTTAGTTAAGAAAAAATGGTTTATCTTTTTTTTGAGAACTTACTCTGTTGAAAGCTTGCATTCCTTCACCAAGTGACCTTCATTTTAAAATGAGTTATTTTTCTAATTGTGTAATTGCACCCAATTGATACTGGAAATTTGATGTTTATTTTCAGAACAGTGGTAAATTTAAATAATGGGATGTTTCTATAAAGATAATTTTTACTCTTACTTAAAATTACTTGAATTTTGTATCAGGAAAATGAAATGGTGGCAGTCTGTCTTTTAAAGCCAAGGGTCTTAACTTGCCATTTATTTAAAAAAAAAGTTTAAAATATTCCTACTGTATCTACTGTTTGTAATTTTAAAGAAACTTGAAGCTAACTTTCTCAGTCTACCATGTCAAAATGCACAGCGTGTTGGAAAAAACTTGTGAAAAATAAAAGGTGATTTTAAATTAATGTGACAGCTTTTACTTGACTGTGTTAGGTAGTTTCTTTGCATGTTGCGGTTGTTCTTACAGAAATGGATGAACATTTTTAAAGAAACTACAGACATCTTTAGACCGGAAGTTTTTCCAGGCGTGGCTTTTGGGCATATTTACTCTGTTATATTGAAGTTATTTATGTGAGTTGGTACCTGTATACCAAACCGTGCATTATGCTTTCAGAGTGACCCCAGCAGTAGGGTTGTTTCTTGACTTCTGTAACAACCTTCCTTTTTACTTACCAGCTTTTCAATGATCGAAACAGTAGCTTTGCTTTTTACTTCCTAATATTTGAAGAAGCTATTTTTATTGTATTTCCTAAACAGGAGGTTTATTTAGAGCTGAAAGGATTGGAAGAGGAGTTCAAAGATGATTCTTTATCTGAAAATAAGTGATCTACTCTACTAAAATGTTCTATTCTTTTGAGGAATGGTTTGTAACCATACTTAAGTTATGCTGAAGCAAATATGTCAAAATGTGGTAACTTCAATAACGTACTGAAATGAGCTGCTTGAAAAGGAATAACTTTTCACAGGGAGTTCTTTGTTTTCTTTTTAATTTCTCTTTGCGCTGTCAACTTTTGATCACTTCAGGGTGATACTTGGAGATTGATATCCCTCGACTTTGTTTCTAGACATGAAACACCTCTGTCTTTGTGTCTCTTTCTGTGTAGCCTGTGCTTAGACACTTTACAGGTAACTGAATCTCCACGCCTTCAGAATAAAAGCAGCCTTTGTTAAGAACCTTTTTCTGAGCCTGTGGTCTCTTAGGGTAACTCAAAACAGAGTAATATTTATTAGCACTGGATCAGTTACAGTTTACTATTATAAGGAGCTTTCCTGGAAAAAAAACCCACAAAAATATGATATGGGTGAAGTTCTTTTACAGATTTTTTTTCCCAAATTTGTATTTTAATTATGTATTTTGTAATTCTCAGTCACATTTTTTTAAGTTATATTTTTTCCCTCAACATATATATGAGGGCTTTACTTACTGTTAAATTCCTGTTTGCAACTATTAATTCTCTCTGTCATGTAGTGACATGTAATACTGTGTTTACTGTGCTGCACATTTGTTGGAATGGAAAATGTGTTTACCATGCTCACAGTACTAAGATTCTCTCTTGCTTTTTTTCTTTCTCTTTTAAATGAAGTATTTGCAAAGGCTAATAATTGCTTTTCAGGTGGATGACGGTGCATATGGAAGTGTCCTCATTAACCTCTTAGGAACTGACAGATACCAGAAAAAAGCTTCTTAACAGTTCCCCTGAATTAATTCTGAAAACTTTGTGGTAGTGCTAGCAGGCGAGTACTTGAGATCACGCAGGCTAAATAGAATTGTCACTATTAGGAAATTTTTTTATTTTTCGTTACTTTTAAAAGCACTTAAAGACTCTCGTGTCTCCTAACAAAGTTTGTTTTGGTGTATTGGAGATATATACAACAGGAGGGAAGCAGCAACCTGAATTCCAGCATGTATGAGAAACCTTGAGAGTACAGGGACATAAAGGTGCTTTGCCACAGATGAGACATTTGTGAAGTATTTCATTTGTTCCGCTTTCATCTAGCTTTATTTTTCACTGCAAAGTACTTGAAGAGACTGTGGTGTGGGTAAGAAGTGGGAGAGCATTATATGGATAAGATTTTTTTTTTTAAGATTTTTAACCAAGAGGAGAATGGGTATAGCTTGGTTTTATTTCATATTCATGAACCATTCCAACTCTACTACTAAAAATATTTCAGGGCATTTGGTAGCATTTTACGCATTTAATCTTCTTTTAACATTACTGTGCAACAAGTAATTCCAACATGTATTTGTTGCTTCATTATTTTCCCAAAGGATTGCTGTTCCACTCTTTGAGTGAGCTGACAGGAATAAGACTGTGACAAGTTGGTGTCATTTAACCCCAGCCAGCAACTAAGCACCACACAGCAGGTCGCTCACTCCCCCCCACAGTGAGACGGGGAAAAGAATCAAAAAGAAGTCAAACTCATGGGTTGACATAAGAACAATTTAATAACTACAATCGTAGGAATAACGATGAACAGGAATATAACAAAAAAGGAAGACATACAACCCAGGAAAAGACAGGTGATGCACAAGGCAATTGCTCACCACCTGCTGACCAGTGCCTGAGCTGCAGTCCATCACTCCTGGCCAGCTACCTCCAGTTTACATACTGGGTGTGACGTGCTATGGTCTGTAACATCCCTTTGGCTGGTTTGGGTCAGCTGTCCTGACTTCTTGTGCACCTGCAGAGCATGGGAAGAATCCTTAACTTAGGGTAAGCACTACTTAGCAACAACTAAAATATCAGTGTGTTATCAGCATTATTCTCACAGTAAATCCAAAACACAGCACTGTACAGCTACTAGGAAGAAAATTAACTCTGTCCTAGATGAAGCTGGGAGACAAGCCAAAAAAGAAGATAGATTTTGAGTGAAGCAATAATAATGAAATCTGGTTGTGCCTTTTTTTGTCCCACATCTACTGTATTCAGGGAATAAATATTAATTCAGATTAGCACTTCCACAACAGCTCCTCTTTTTCAATGTGTAAGAAATAAGGAGACAGACATTTAAAGAGATGGAAAAGTCTAGAAAGGACCCTTAGAATTCTACTCCCATGTGCACAAACTAGTTTTGCTTTTCTTTTTCTGCTTAAAAAGGATTTGTCCCATTTTTTCTTTTCAGCTACTGCAGTGAACTTTTTAATGAGCATGTGCATTTCGTTTTCCTTTTTAAGAAGAAAAATATATTTTTGATATAGTCTTTCATGGATTCAGTTCTGAAAAAAGTAAGTATTGCTTGAATCTTCACTTCCTGGAATCCTCATTTTCTTGCATGGCAAAGTAGACTGCTCTGCTGCTTTTGTGAGTGAAAGGGAAGACAATGTCTTAGCAGCCCCATGTGACTGAGATTTCAGACAAATTACTTGACTATTATTTTTTTTTTATTTATAGCATTTTTTGATTCCACAGCAGAGCATGAATTAGAGGGCAGAACCTTTATAAAATGCATTTGTAGAACTGGTATTGATGGTTCTTAGAGCTAAGATTTGCACTAGTAGAACTGACTGTAGAGTTTCAGGAATAAGTAACTATGACTGCCAGGAATTCCTGGTGGTTGGTTGTTCCCTTTAGCTGCTGCCAGGAAGGGTGGTCTCTGACAGAAAGTTAGTTTGCAGCCAACACTAAAACTGAAATGAGAATTGATGGCGCAGGAATTTGTTGTACCTAGATGATGCAAGTGTCCCTTCAAATGGCTTTCCAACATGATTTCCCAGATACTTGAAATACAAAAAGTTTTATTCTGGATCTGCTTCTAATGAAGCAGATAGGCTTGCTCAACAGTACAAGAGAACCTTGCTCTTGTCTACGATGAAATGTTAAACACAATCAGAAAGAGTTGCTTTTATCTACATTGAAAAATTTTATTTGCTAGGTTTTTTGGTTGTTTTTTTCTTTATATAATCTTCCTATTTGACATAGCTTTTAAGATCTGTATCAATGCATCCCACTTACTGGTTGATGGCTGTCTTTTAGTGCACTTTATGGCTGAGGGGTATGCAGCATGTGAAGGGAATGGGTTAAAGTTCAGGAAAGTTCAGAATTCACCCCGCAGAATTGCTGCTTCTTGCAACTATTGGCACAGAACTGTGCAGTATTTTCTTATGGCACCTCAGTCCTAAACAAGCAGGAGGAGATCTAAGAAGCAGTTGTTATCCTGGCCTGGTGGTAAGGCTGTGAGATGTGGAGAGATAACAGTCATGGGATTTATTTGTCTTGGTAACTTATGACTTTTGAAAAATGAATTTTCTGGTTTTAACTTCACTTCAGAAAAGCTGTTTTGGCTTTGTTTAAAGCAGTGCCCCTCAGAATTACTTTGCACAAGAATCAAATGTAAGATCAGCAATCTGATAAAAGCATACTTCAAATATTTAATAGAGTAAAGCGACACTTCAGAAGTAGAATTTCAGTCAGCTTGGTTACAGCCTTTATTGTTATCTTGTAAACTTA